AGGAATTAAATCTAGGAGCTTGTATTTTTTAGCTGTTTTATCTATGTGGAATGTGCAAAAGTTGTTGGCAGATAAACTTCAAAGGAGCTGTTCTTAGGATGTTGAAGCTCTGAAATGTTATCAGACCCAGCCACAGAGATTACATTTTAGCATTAGTGCTGGAAAAACTTGTGTTTGAAATGCATATTACCTCTCAATAGATAATGCTCTTCCTTCCTTCCTTCCTTCCTTCCTTCCTTCCTGTTTTCCTTCCTGTTTTCCTTCCCTCTTCCTTTCTTCTCCCCTTTCTTCCCTCTTTCCTCCCTCCCTTTCTCTCGCTTTCTTTCCTTCTTTCCTACTGCCAATCTGTTTTTCAGCAGTTTTCTGTTTCCCCTCTTCCCTCAACTCCCTTCCCACCCCCCTCCTTCCCCTCCCTCCTCCGTTCCTTCCTCCCTTTCCAACCTCCTGCTAGTCTGTCTCTCAGCACTTTTCTCAAACATCACTTCCCAAATCATGCTGTGACACCTTGCCAGAACAGACTTTGTGTTTACCATCCAGTGCCTGCTGCTGCGTATCTATTCGTGTATTAACTCCTACAGGCCCTATTGCCTTGCAGAAGGTGGCAGCTGAGGGCTCATGTTTTACTCTTTAGCATTCCTTTCACTGCTGACCCCAAGATGGTCCTCCAGCCATTTTTCCTCCATTTGATTTTCTCTATGTTTAATGTTTCCTGAAATCACTTCTCCTATTCTTACTACTGACATTTGAGTGACTCATCGTGGGAGGCGATATGCGAGACAAGTGACATTAAGATAGTACAGTCAGCCAGTCAAACGTGTGTTTGGACAGCCTATGTCCAAAATCATACTCCTGCCTTGAAGGAGAGCTGGCTAGCTGAGAGGCAACACTGGTGGGTTTCATTAACTGACATTATTTTGGTATTCAAAGTGAGGAAGTTGGTAAATAATCATTAAAATCATTAGCATAGTTATTCACACCTTTGGTGTAGATATTTGGTAACTGGCTATACATCACTTTCTTTGTTTTCTTGGGATCCCTGATGGTTATAGTAGGAATCCACTTATATATGCACGTGCCTGGACATACGTATATTCATGCGTGCAGACACACATGCTGAGACTTCATTAATTGATGTTAATGGCTGGTATTTTTTTATTACAAAGCATATTTCTCTATTGGTCTGTTTGCACTGCTCTGTTTTAGCTGCATCTAATGCACTGGAACTCCACGCTGTACAGCAGCATTGATGAGGCAGTAGGGAAGAAGCACGGCATAGCTATTATTGCTTTGTTTGTGCAGGTAAGTTTCCTGTGTTGCACTTGTTATCATGCCCTATTGTTTGTCTGAAGAAAATTAGTTCCTTTCAATGTTCTTTCATTTTTAATGATTTCATAGAATAAAATAATGCATGACTGTATTCTGTTCAAAAGATACTTCTCTGTTATGTCTTTTGTGTATGTGCTAAACAAGTAATTCTTGTTTAAACAGGATATTGAAAATATGTTAGTTAAAGAAGGGATAATACAGAGTTGGCCATCCCTCCCTGTGTCTCTGGCTACAAGCAGACCTCCAGAATGAGGGCTGTCAGGATGCACAGGGGCTTCACTCCCTGTGCTTTTCTCCATTCCTGACCACGCTTGCTGCTTGGAGATTGAGGAAATATACAGAGGAAAGGTAGGGGGAGGAAAGCCTACTAACCCCTTGGCACAGTCCACACCCGGTAGTAGAATTGTGCTTTTTTAAACAGAAGTGTAGAAGTTTTACAAGTTTTTTTTTCACAAGAGACGAGTGTGTTTCTTCACACAGGACAAATATGAGGTAGGATCATATTACTTCTCAAAAGACCCCGGACTGTTCCCCCCTAAAAAAAGGGGAGCAATAGAGAGCATGTTCTAGACCCTCAGAAAAGCCTGCAACGAGGATGCTTAAACCTTCCATGGGAGAAGGTGTAATGCAAGCTGGGAAGTTAACCCCGTAATCTAATTGCTGTTGAAGGTTTTTCAGGGGCTGCACCCTATAAAGAAGATTTTCAGTTTTAGTCTTCCAACATTCTCATCCTCCTTGTGAGAAATGGCAAACTGTTTTATTTAAATGGGTTTGGAGGAAGAGGTTTAGAGTTTGTGCTTAGATCAAATGGATTTTTTTTCATGATGATATTAATTTGTCATATTTCATTAGAAGTTTGAGTGCCTTTGAGCTTTACCTCTGTTTGAATTTAAAGGTACATTGGTTACAGCTCCAACAGTGAGATAGAACTGCTAAAAATGGAAGTTAGAAAGTCTTTATCCTCTCAGTTATGTATCCTAGAGGGCTGTGTGATAATTGCTTATGTAAGTCACCTTCTAATTCCAGCAGAGGTAACCTTCGAGTTAGTTAGAAAGTTATATATAAGTTCTTAAATAAATCTGAAACTTCAGTGATACATTTTCCATTTCTGGTCTCTCACCTTCAATAGAGTTCTTAAGCATTGCAAACGGCTTTTTCATTAGCCAAGAAAGGCATCATATAATTACAGTGAACTAAGGAAAATATTATTTATGTTGTTTATTAAAGGAACAGGGAGAGGAAATTCGGTGACCGTTTTTCCTGTTAAAGATGTGAAAATATAACGGTTTTGCACCACAGCTCTCAAACACATAATTTTAAGGTCACTGAAAATATTTTTACTGATTTCAGTGACATTCCTTGGTGATTATTAATTTAAAAACAGCATCTTTGAAGTGATTTAAATGTCTTTTACCCACTTCAAAGGTTTTAAATGACAATTCCATTCTGAAACAACAGAAAATCCTCTTAAATACCTAAAAATAACAAACTACCTATTGTTGGCATTCAGTTGTTTCCTTCCAGTGACTACTGTGGCATTTTGTTCCAGGAGAAACAAAAAGCAAACAAGTTTTTCAGGGTCCAGCTGTCCTGGTCTCACTCATGCCCACTTTATTCCTCTCCTCACATGTGCATGCGTTGGCAAAGAAATCAAGTGGAAGGCTGTTCTGAGCCCTTCTATTTTGCCAATGTTGTTCTGAAGGTATAAACCAGGGTCCTAGAATGGGCGATTTAGATCAGAAGCATCTAGGATTGACATTCATACAAAATAAGAATTATCTTATTTCAAGAAGGGTTTTCTTTTGAAAGCCCCATCTTCTGTGCCTCAAAGATGTTTGGTAAAAGCAGTGCTGCAGGCTGCTGGGAGCCCGGCTTTCGCCCACAGGATCACAGAGGTGTCGTGATGGAGGGGATTTGCCATTCTGTGCTCTGCAGGCAGTAAAAAACTCCCCAAACTTCGGAGATACCTTGGGCCAGATTTGCAACACTGTGGGAACAAATTCAAAAAGTGTCTATCATGCCTGTTCACTCTGTTCCTTTCTGTGTACTTTTCTGACAAAAACTGGTAAGGACCAGCTGTATCCTTGGCATTTATATGCCATAATGCTGCATGATTTTGACTCCTCATGCAGTATATGCTGCAAAACTTACCAGACTTGACTGTGACTCTTTCTCTTGTTCTGTGAGTTTCTGTTTCTGCATTAAAGTTATTTACAACTCGTTTACTTTTGACTGGTGTCTTTGCAGTGATTTAATTGAGTGGAGTTGCCATGTATCAGTGTATTTGGTTAACGCGAGGTTGTGTAACTAAAAACAACTATGGGACTTACTGTTCTGGTTGGCCTCTGTCTTGCCTCCCAGTTTCAGAAATAGCAAAATACTGAAACTCAGCTTTGCTTGCTGTATTTCAGATAGGAAAAGAGCATGTAGGCTTAAAGGCTGTGACAGAAATTCTCCAGGACATCCAGTACAAGGTAAGGCATTGTCTGAAGAAATGCTTCTTCACTGACCAGATGGAGAGTGAGAGTGAAGGGTGTATTTGAAACACTGAAGCCAAGAGAAGGGTTTCAGATATGTCTGTACTAAAAGCACACAAGAAAGCCATAGTTTGATGGTCTTCATCAGAAGCTCAGCATTTTACAGTAGTTACTTCCTTCTCTGATGGACAGAAGATTTGATCTTCTATACCAGTAACTGATCACAAGTACTACCTTTTTAGTGATTCACACAGTGTGAGGGCAAGCATTGCAACATGTTTAGTGAACACCAGCACCAGCATCTCCAAACCTACCTGGTTTTAATTTGTTAAGGAAAAGAATAGATGAACTGAGCACCTGTATTAACTTGCAGTGGGCAACCAGCAAAAACACAATGCCATCTTGTCAGGTGGATTATGTTTGGAGATCCTGAAGGACATTTAATAAGCCTAGCAGGACTGAGAAGATATGAGTGCTCTCCAGGACTGCTGATGCTGTCTTAAATGACCTTGGGCAAGTTACTTCCATCTCTCTGCTTCATGGTCTCTGTCTGTAACACAGAAATAACCATATTTACCTTTGATTTTAAAGGATTGGAGGTATAGTAGTGAGATGTTTTGTATTAGTCTTGAGAGATTAGCCATTCACTGTAATGCATGCTGAAGTGTAGAAAAATGAGAAGCTGTTATTAGAAGGAGTTGAAATTCTTTTAGTCAGATAATATACAGTAAATTTCAGTCATGATGTTTAATATTACAAACTCTTTGTTTATGAAGGTGTCAGGGAAAACAGTAGTGTATGGAACTCTATAGTTTCATTACCAAAGGGACAGCCAAGTAGAGGAAGGTCATGAAAGGTCTAGTCGTTGTGAGTGTGTTGTACGAATGATGTTATAACAAAGGTCAGCATCAAACATACTTTTGACATGCATAAAATTTTCTTGCATTAAATATGTGGAACCAGCATTATTTTATTAAGTGTTAGCCACGTTGATCAAGGTAAAGCTCACTTTGGCCTTTTTTTAAAAACTCATTTTGTGAGGAACCTCAAAATTTCATGTAGAGAATTTCAAGGCTGGGACCTGGAAGGAGCCCAGGTACTAAAGGCAGAAAGTTGACAAATTGCTGAGATAACCTTAGAAGTGAAAGAATAAAGAAATGTGTTTGTGTAGTTGCAAGGACAAATGCGATGATGATTAAATGAGGGCTGTTAATAAGGTTGCTTTGCACAGAATTCAAGGCTTAATGTTATAAGATCACAGTGTGTTTTACCTCTCCATCCATCATAATTTTAATAAGAAACTAGATATGAAATTGATTTGTATTCATTTTTTCAGGGAAAGTCCAAAACAATACCCTGTTTTAATCCCAACTCTTTATTACCAGGTAGGTGCCTTTGCTTCCTTTTGAGTGGGTGGATTTCTAGCTAATTGCAAAGGCTGAGGCAACCTTAATCTGAAGCATAGTCTTAACTACAAGCCTGATAAGGTAGTAATGCATTTTGCACTTAGTGGTGCTAACAGGGATAGGGATGATGTCGCTTTGGAATTTAATGATAAATCTGCACTTTTGGTGTGTGAGTGGGATGTGATACTGTGGTCCTTGCACTGCTGGCAATGGCGTGGCTGGCTTTCTTGGTGATTTGTCATCCCACCTAGAAGGGCAGATATATGTAGTCCTTTCTCCACTTCGACATGAAATAGGAAGCATAAGGTTACCCACTTGCAAAGGTAGCTTTCTGGCAGCATCAAAAGGTAATGCCATAATGTAATGACAGTGTTATAGCATATAGAATATAGAATTTGCAATGGGAGGCAAGTTCAAATTCATATAGTTAAAAATTAAAGAGTAACAGTAAGAAACAACCACTTCCTCTACCTTGTCTTGAAAAAAAAGTGATTTTAAAAAAACATGTTTCTACAAGAAAAATATTTCTGCAGGGAATCCTTCTGAGATAAATCTTGTGCCATAGTGGCAAGACCTTTAATTTTTCAAATCAATTAAGGCTTATACTGAACTGTATTAATTATATCAAAGTAATGTTTTTTAGGTTGCAAAGTCAAGTGCTCAGCAATTAGGAATTGCAGGAATTAAGGCTGCCTGTGCCCCTTCATGCATATGTGTTATAAAACATCTTTTAATTGTGTGACTGTAAGTTATTTTTCACAGGACCCCTGCCTCACAGTTCCTGTTTGATGCTGATCAAGTCACATAAACCAAAATTTTCATAAGTCATCCCTAACTATGTGTTCCTCATTTTCTAGGTGCCCAACTTGAGATCATGGGGTCTGATTTGCAGAAGTGCTGAGTGCTTGCACCTCCAACTGAAGTCAATGGGAGCAGTGCTCTAACTGTTTTAAGTGCTATAGAAAGTTAACTACTCTGAGAAATCAGGTTCTAAGCATCTCATATTGAACACCTCAAATGAATAGATGCATTTGACCTTAACTTCTTTGTGCCTCAGTTCCCCAGCTTTAAAACGTGGGGGTAATCTGTTCTTTCTAAACACACTGGGGTGCTGGAAGGATAAATTAATTCACATTTGTGAAGCACTCAGACACTGAAGAAATGAGTGCATTAGAAATATGTAAAATGAAAAAATGTGGTCCTTCTAACAAGCAAGATTTGAATAGCATGGGAAAAAGAAGACCAAGGACCATATATTGTACTGAGAAAGCCAAATGTTAGTAGATGCTTGTCAAAATAAAATCATCAGTCTTTGCAAAGAAACAATGAAAGCTTCTCTAGAAAAGACATACACAATCATGTAACAAGATGGTGTCACAGTGCATGCACCGAATGGGCTGAATTAATTCTTGCAGGACTTAACTTTTGAGTGTTTGACAATGCAACTTGCTTTCAATGGGTTTGCTATGTAATTCCCTAACTGAGAAAGAAAATTACACCAACGAAACAAAATCCATTCACTGACAATCACAGGCTTCATTAGCACGATTTAATTCTACTGATACTCCTCTCACCTAGTGGTGAAATGGCAGTGGCAAGCTAGATCAACCAAGCAAGTTTATTCCAGTTTCCAGCCTCCCATCCTGTCCTTGTCAAGCTAGTCACAACCTTCCCCCTAGCTCTTCATGCCATGATTAACCAGCCCCTGTCTCCAGTTCCTCTCAAGGTTTGTTTTTTGCCCCCTCCTTTAGAGTGGGGCAATTTCCTAGATGGACTTCCTAAGCTGTGTCGGGGAGTCGTTTGTGAGTGTAGCCTACAACAGCAAAGGAAAGCCCTGTGTAGTCTTACTTAGGAAGTGCAGTGTGACTGGAATCTCTGTGGAATTAAAATAATTAAAATCAAACATATATGTAGAGTTAAAACTCTGCATGGACAAACCATTGCAAGTTTTCTTGAGATACAGCTGTTTATTCTAACAGTTATTTATAAACCTATCAATAGGTTATTAACTTACTAAAATAAATTTATTCTTAAATAAACCTTTATTTTTTTCCTTGTGAAATTCGACTCACTTTTCTAAAGCTAGGAGGCACCAGTGCATCTCAAAAAATACATCACCAGAACTGTGAACTGAAAAATTTGACTTCAGTTGTTTTCACTGAATTTGTCTAAAAAATGAAATACATTCATCTTCAAGACATATCCAAAATGTAGAAGTCAGTTTAAATTTGGTCACCATTGCCCCTCTACCATCAAAATGGAATGTCTCCTTTAGCTTTTGACACTAACAGGAGAGACTTCCTATTGAATTGCTGCCTTAGTTTAAGGAGTTGTGCACATGTTATTTTTCATACCTATAAAGTGGCTTTTTCATCTTCAAAATACTCATCTGCAGTGGGCAGTTCCTGTAATATAATGATCACAAACTCATGTACATTCACATGAGAAAGTAGTGGACAGTGGCAGGTTATACCTTCACACCTTAACGTGCAGCATACTAACTTCATCCTGTGAGCAAGCCCATGGCTATTATAAGCTGTCATAATTGGAAAGACAATTATCTTCCTTAATGTCATTAAAATTCTGCATTTCTCTTAATTTCAGATCCTCTACTGCGTGACTACTGGGTGTATGAGGGCTCCTTAACCATCCCACCCTGCAGTGAAGGAGTCACCTGGATATTATTTCGCTATCCTCTGACAGTGTCCCAAGTACAGGTAACAGCTGTGCTTAAAGTGACCTTGGAATATGGTTATAAGCTAAAGGTTATAGCGTGCAAATATATATATATCAGGACATTATATCTGTTCTCCTTGAAGATCCCATTAGATCAGTGCATGGCTTTTCAAGTAAAGGTTAAGCCTTTTGAGTCACTGAAAGCAATGCAAAGGTCAGAGATGAAAGACCTTGTTATCATTTATCATCTGCATTTAAAATAATTCTTTATTTAAGTGAAATAAAAAGAAAGAAAGAAGTCAATGGGCAAAAGAAATTCAATTCTTTGTAATTGTAAGCTTTCAAATATCGCTGCTTTTTGATGTTAAAGGAACATAAAAGAACAGGGAGAGACTATGTCCTGGAGAATAAAAAATGTTAACATAGTACAGGCTAGCTATATTGAATTGAACGATATTTAACTTATCTTGTTCTTTTTTAATTCTGTTTTATAATAAATGTCAAATGGAAACTACCTATTTAAATTTGGTTTCACAGATACATATTTAAAAGGTGTTTTTTTAAAAAATAATATCTAACAATCATGTGAGCCTTTCTATAGAAAACATTTCAAATCTGTCTACAAATAATTCCAGTAAAAACAATGAAAACTCCTGGTGAATATTTTCCTGCAGTCTGTGAATCCCAGCTGGAGAAATGTGAGTGTGATTTAAATGAAACTATCTAGAATCCCTGAAGACAAATGTGTTAATTTTCATTGGCTGCTCTGAAGGATGTGCAAACAGAAGGGGAAAAATGTATAAAAGGTGACAAATTCTCATTTAAGTTATTTCAGCTTTAATAATCTAAATTTTTGCTAGGAATCCCAGAACAATATTTTAACAATTTTAACAATGTGAAATTGGCAGTGTTTCTTTTTGAATGACAACTGAATTCTAGTTCTAAACATAGGATAAAAGCAATAGCTCCCATAAGCTTATTTGTATGGTAGCTGCAACTTAAACGTATCTCATCATGAACCTGGTATTTATTTGCTTGTGAAAGAGTAAGTCTTAACATCTGCTTACTGCTGAGTAAATGGAAACAGAACTCTCTTGGCATTATTGAAATCAGAATAAAGTTTAAAGACAGCACATTTTACAGCTTCGCAGGTAGTTGTCTGGATATGATATGGATAAATAAGAGGACTTAATCAGGTGTATAAAGACCTGAGACATTGTATATTTTATTTCATGCTAGTTGTAGATTTTGTTGTCTCTACTCCCTACTAATACAGTCAGTGCACAGAGGAGGGCACAGTTCCAGCCATCCACATGTGGTGGAAGATGGCAGGGGAGTGAATGAAAGAGGAATTAAGCAGAGAAATGCAACTTTAGTTAACATTATGATGTGCTTATTTACCACAAGAGTACAAGATGATGTAATGTGGTGTGAAAGGGATAAGTCTTCAGAAGAGAATATTGTGCCACTGATGCAAAACCCCGTAGTTCAGCATTGCTTTCTTGCTTTAATTACTAAGCACATCTTGCATACTTCTCTTTATCGGAGGTATTTGCGTATGTACATCGTGCCTATGAAAAAGAGTGTGAATCATGACCATGGTCTTCTTTAGCTGGTTTTTGTTGCTGCGTTACTTTGATTGATATAAGCCAAATCCAACAAGAACATTGCAGTGATGAGGAGCTCACAAGTCGTGGAGGGGCTTGGGTGCTTATACTTTTCCCTGCCACTGGCACAGTACGCAGGTGAGACGTGGTGCTGGAGCAGAGTGAGAGGTTGGAGCAGACTCATGCCAAGATGATCCACAATACTTTGTACTCGTCGTGGATCGCAATCAAGTAGAAAAAAAATCCTCACTGCTGGTTGTGAATGCAGCAGCCTTAAAGCCAAAGTTGTGCAGAAAAGAGTTACTAAGAACATGAAGGACTTTTGCCAAGGTGGGATAAAAATTTTATTTGCGTCAAATATTGCTTTCAGTTGTCACTTGAGAATAAAGACAGAGACAAGTAAGACAGTGATTCTGAGTTTCTAAAGTCAAAAGGGACTGAGAGTTCTCCAAGATGCCCAAAATAAGATTTTGAGGGTGCCAGAATATTTTGCTATAGCTTGGGCATTCAAGATTTTAACTTGTAGTTAGCATTTTGGCTGCAATTAAGTATCTAGCTTCTTTTCTGCATGTGAGCAAGAGTGCCTGTGAGAGATTCCATTAAGGGAGAGATTAGAAATGCAAGGGCTTTTGTCTATGGAAAATAAGAGGATGTAGTATAACAGATACCATTCTGAATCATCCATGGAAGGGTGGTAAATGCATTTAATTTTATTAAGCCTGCTTGTAGTATTAAAGCATAAATATCAGTGCAAATGCTTTTCTAATGGATTTAAATACATTTTTACATGTGTCATTAACTTGCAGAACTTTCTTCTGTGGGATACTAATGAGCACAGCCTGTGAAACTTCAAGCAATTTATATAAACACTAGTAGCATCTGTGGTTATAGCCAGTTAGAGGGCTATCTGTTTTCATTTTGAAGGCCATAAAATAATCAAGTTCTGAATGACAGTAAAAAGTAACAATAAAGAAAAACACAGTGTGATATGGAATAGGTTTTATTGACTTCCTCTGATGAAGCTAGTTAATATATTGGAGACAAGATATTCACATTCTCATTTTCTGTAATTAACATAGCAATATTGATTAGCTTAACAAACTGTGGGTCATAAGTGGAAAATAGGAATAAAATTACAATTCTAGTTCATAGTCACATCTGTATATTTTCACATCTGCTTATTTTGATACAATGGAGAAGTAACTGTTTTGGCCTAGGCATAATAGGCTGACCATTGCAAAAGAGAAAACCTTTTTCCATTTCTCCCGAGGACATTTATAGGTAGCAAAGTTCAACTGATGAGTTGATTTGCTACTGATCTAAGTCAACGTTAAGTGAAAGAAGATTCAACTCCACATGCACCTCACTACAGCAGGTGGGATCTGAGTGCGTTGGTTATAGGAACAGCAGAAGAGCAAGCCAGGACTGCAGCGTCAGGATGTGATTTCTTGGAGTCCAGTGCCGTTTCCTCACTGAAAGTTGTCTTCTTTGACATGAGGCTTCCCTTCAACCAGAGAGCCGTTTCCTTCATGGGTGGATCTGTCGGGTCTGGATAAAGTGTGTAGAGGACTCTTCTGCCCTGGAGAATTAGGGTTTTGTAAATCTGGTTCTTGGAGTTTTATTACTGACCTCAGTGGAAAAGAGCTTATTTGGAAAGCTGCACCCTACAGTGCTCTTTTTCCATATTCCTGCCCTCCTTTTGTCGTTTCTATCATCCTCACTTGTCTTACGTTGAAATATACAGCCCAGATTGAACTGAGTTGACTGTGTTTGTGAGACACCTTGCCCATGCGTGTACGCTGCTGAAATGCATTGGGGAAAAAATAGAAAACTCCCTCCTACTAGCCCAGTAAAAAGCAGGAGATAATTGAAAAAGACTTGCTCATGCTTCTTTCCAGTCTGTTTTTTAAAAATTGGAGTTGTGAATAATGTGCTTTGTGGTTCACTGAAGCCCAGAACAAGTACATTGTCTAAGCTGCTCAGAGTGGGGATTTTAAACAATGATATGGTGAGGAGCTGTCATTCTGCTCTACTCATAGTCAGACTTAACTGCTTTTGTATTGAATGGTGAGGTCTCTAGTCCTTTTGTCTACCTCATTCAAAATCAAGACCTCCTAAAGGACAGAAACAGTAACCAGCTTATGGAACTGGAGTGGAAATTGTGCAAAATTTATGTAGTTTGTGAAATAAACACTCTTGAGATGTTCATGGTATTCTGTTCACTGAGAAGCAGGTTTATGTTCTTGGAAGGTTTCATGGAGGTACATGAAATTTTAAAGGAAAAAAGATAATGCTTCTATTGCTCATATAGAAAAAAATGTTTGTAGAGAAAACATACAAATTCTTTGTTTTGTGTGCTCTGTTCTTCAGCAAATATTTATGTGAAGCAGTAAAAAGCTGTATTCAGGATGTGAACACAGGGAAGTGGTAAAAACATTTTTGCAATATTCCACAAAATATAAACAAAATGCTTTTACTCAGTAGAAATGTGGCTGTTAATATTGTGGGTTTACCCTTTGACTGGTTAGAACTTGATCCTGAATTTCAGTGTGAAGAGGCCTAGGTCATCTTTAGTGTCTTCTGGGCATGAGAAGAACTTTTGTAATGGCCATTCCTGTTGAAAGTGTGTGAATATCCAAGGGGGCTTAGCCTTGGCAGTCCTACAGGCTGTACTTCACAGCATTGATTTTGAGAGCTTGGAAGGAGATAGTAAGTGGTTCCGCATGAGTTGAAGCAGGATGAGTGGGGCACACATGGAAATTTAATGGGGAAAGTGGTATCAGCACAGCTAGTGTCCTTTTGGACAGAACCACTTCTTGCAGGTGAGGCAGACTACCACATGTACAGAGGGTCTCTGTCACAGGGGTCTGAACCTTCTGAATGAAGGACTAAACAAGGAGGCTGGTGGTATCAGAAGCAATTCTCCCTCAGAGTAGGGCTGCAATTCTTGACTTTTCTGAAGGCTAAAGAGCAGGTATGGAGATCAGGTCAGTCCCGCTTTCCTGACAGAAGAAACAGAAAGCTGCTTTGTGAGGAGTGCCTCCTGAAGAAAGATTTCACGGTGGGGACTAGGGCAGAACATTTGTAATAGTTATAGTAGGAGACAGCTCACAAATGCCAGCTTTGCAGGGAGTCTGCTCTTCCCTCTCCTTCATCTGTCTTTGTTTGAAATCTCTCATTCTTAAAAGAATAAACAAAAGCCACATTATTGTAAAATACTCCTTCCTTTCAGACTTTCCAGAATTGTTTCAGATGGTAAAAGAGACCACCTTTACAAAACCCATTCAGTGATTTATCAGTACTTTACTGGCCCCTGAAGACTTTTTCAGTTCCAAACCTGTAGTGAGTTTGCTTTAAATAAACATTAAAATAAATTTTCCAAACTAGGGATCTGCCTCTAAAAGCACCTTCAAGGAGCTTTACAGTTTGTTTTTTTTTCATCTTTTGAGTCTAAGCTGTTGCCTTATATCTCAGCTGCAAGAAGTCGAGTGTTGATTTCTAAGCACACTGTTTTGTGAGGAAAATACGGCAGAGCAGAGCTAGTCTCTAGATCAAGTAAATAAGTCTGTATTGTTTCTGTCATAGCGGAAAGAAACAGTGAAGACCGTTGTCTTACAGGTTACAGTAAGGAAATATTCTCTGCAGGCAACGTAAGAACAAAATGCCATTACCTGCTGTTTAGTACCTCATTTCTTTTAATTCTAGAATCACACCTGTATCCTCCCTGTAATCCTTCTCTGTAATTTCTTAGACGATTAAATGATTAAATACTTCAGGTTCTGTTTTGCCTTCTGTGTAGCTTCAGTTTCAAGTTTCAGCTGAGCTGGATCGTGAGGCATCACAGGGTCAGTACAAGTACAAAGGCTCAGGATAGAGGAGTCACTCTTCAAGTGGGTTTCCAGTATCCAGCTAAGATAGCATATCAATATGCCAAAGCAAAACCAAACACATTCTTTTTCAGTAGTTGTAACTACTTGCTTAAAGTGCCAGACTCTTAAAAGCAGCACTGTTGAACAATATTGATTTTACTGGTTTTTTATCACACTGTGCTTGATGCTGATACCAGAGATGGAGGTGGGAGCTGCTCACATTCTTCCCTACATCAGACAAGATTTAGAAAAAATTTAAAGGAATCTATAAACTAGAAACATATTTGTTTTAGACCAATTGAAATGTTTTATATTGATTTTTGATTGTATTTGATTTTGTAAGTACATACATTTACAGAACTTTTGAAGTGATATTTTCTTTTGATTGGAAAAACCTTTTTTTTCCATATAAAATGTCAAGAGACTTCCTCGAAAGCTGAGAGTCTGTTCAGAATTCTCCTGGTTTAGAAAAGAATTTTTCTTTAAATGATGCAACAGTTTCACTGGAAGGGATTCAAAACAAGTTATAGTTGACCAAGTTATTCCTGAAATGCACTTGTTTGAAGAAGACCAGAATGATTACCCCTATGTCACATCTGTGAGGTTGGTTCACAGAAATTAAGCTACAATGGCTAAGAAGGTTATAGATACCAAAAGAAATTACAAAAAAGCAAAGGATAAGTTTCCCAAGCCATGTGCATAAAAGTTCTTATTTTTCTCTGCATGTTAAATGTTTTGGCAGTGCTGACAACTATCTTAAAATGTTATTATGATGTATATATATGGTACCTGAACACTCCGAGTTTCAAAGCTGCAGAAGTGGCTGAGCAAAACTGATTTTGATCATGACTTCCATAGTGAAGAATGTATCTCAGCTTCTTCATGTCTGTTTTTCTACCTTTCAGATAGAGGAATTTCGTAGACTGAGGACACATGTTAAAGGTGCTGAACTTTTAGAGGGCTGTGATGGAATCCTAGGAGATAATTTCAGACCAACTCAGCCACTTAGCGATAGAGTCATCAGGGCTGCATTTCAGTAGCAGAAGAGGAAGGACAACAAAAATAAATCTTTATTCAGGTAAGTGAAATCTTAGAAAAAATCAAAACATTGAAATAATTTTCATGGGGGAGATTTAGCTAAAGGAGAAAATGCATTAAGTTCATTTCAGCCAATGTTATGATATATTGTCACAACTGTAAATTTTGACACCATACTGTTTTATTTTATGATATAATAGTTTGGTTACTATTAGGTTCTTTAGTGGCTGGAATCTAATACTTGAAATATTTGTACTGACTTCAGTAGGCAGTGGATCATGCACATGATCTAACAGATCACAGTTGCTTCTTGTAGCTTTAAATTTCTCCTACTGCAGTGAGCGACAGCACAGTATGCCTAGGTGATGTGACAGATTTTCCCACTTACTGAGGTTCGCTTGTTGATTTTTTACTGTGTTTTTAGAAGACCAGTCATTGGTAAATCTTTCTAGTGTTATTTGTTAAAAACTAGGTTAGTAGTTCTAGAAGGAGGCCTTTAATTCTCAAAAGAGGTCTTTTTTGGGGATCCCTTCTCTCTGCTTTACAGTGTTCTTTCTCAGCCAGAGTGAATCTTGGGCAAGGCCAGTGCAGGTACACGAGGAGACTAATTGACTTCTGCCATGGCTAATTTTTCATATTTAACTCATGAAAGTAGTTGCTGCTTCTTGTGATATTTTCAGCCTTCATTGCTTTACAGAGCAGGAATTTAAGGATCATGTTGAATTCAGTGCATAAGGGCTAATACACATGCAAACTTACATTATCCCCACTTCAGTTTTTAAAACCTCCCATGTCATCTTCCCCTAGCCTCTGTCGGTTACAAGATAAATTCTCTCAGTGCTCAACAGTTGCTCCTAAACCTCATTATGCTTAGTTAATCAATGTTTAACTGTAATGAAAAACCTGCTAGTGAGATTCTTGGAGAGTTAAAGAAAATTTGCTATCAAGACAACTGGTTGCGTTGAAAGTAGTGAGTCAAGACATCAACATGTATAGTTGATTTTGTAATGAAGTGGCCCTACCTTGATACAAATAGTAAGAGAGCTAATCTGGGAACTCCTCAAGAGACGAATGAATCTGTTCACTTGCTTTCTTTAATAAGTCTTACTACTTTTTAACATAGTAATGTTTTTCATCTACAGTAGGCTTGATTTAAATAATAAAAACATTGGGTACTCCTTATTACCCTATTTTAGTGGTATAATCCATTATAAAAATACCTTAGTTTTTCTGTCTGCACATTTCTTCAAAACCAGATTCTCACAAGAGAACCAGTTAATCCAGAATTTCACCTGGAAGCATGCTTCTGAAAGGCTTTTGATACACCCTTTTGGGTAAGGACATTTATTTGCCCATTAAATTCTTGCCCTATTTAGGTCAATGATGGAACTCCTTAGTTCATGTCAGCCTCTGTTGTGGAGTTAAGCCTTTTCAGAGCATGCTCTGAGTCCAGCCCCCAACTTCATATGAAATTAACAAATGATCAGGCAGCAGATAACCCCTAAAAGAGATTAATAATTCAGAGCTTCCAAAAATGGATTCATTAAAAGTGAGTGGGAAGATTATCTTTCCTCCTGCATGTGACAGAAATTATTAAATGAGCTGACACAGTGCCCAACAATTTCATGGTCTTTCCATATAGTATAAGTACTCAGTATAGAATATGCATCTAAATATTTTTGAAGTATAGGTTTATTTGTATTTTCTAACCCTATTTAATATCTGTATCTCAGAATTTAAACAAAGAAAGCAAAACAGTGGTCCTTTTATTAATGTTGTTTTCTCATTCTCATATTTAATTTTGGGCACATCCCTAAGCACAGTTCTCAATTACATGGTTCTCTGCAGTCACCAAACGTCGTCACTTTAATCTTGAAATGGATGTTTCAAATTCATCCTGGCTTCTGCATAAAAATTACTTGGGAAAATCATAGCAATATTAAAGTACAATTTTTCTCAGAGAGTGAATAATGCCCTCAGGCCCGTGCAGGTAATTCAAGTCTGTAACAGTGAAATTACTTGACATGCTGAGTTTGAATTTTAAGCATGAAAGAGTTTCCTTTACAATGCTGGAATTGAAATGTAAAAATTTCCCTTCTGCTTTCATGTTTGAAATTTTATTACATTTGTCAATACTCATAAAGATTTGTTTTAAATAATAAGATTTATCTTGGCCATACTTCACAAAATAATCTGCAGTTTTAATTCTCAAATGATGGAATTTTTAATGTAAAATGGTAGTCCTCACTGTAGAGCTATGTTAATTATGGACTCTGAAGCACTGAGAAAGAACTGTGACTCCTGGCATTGTGAAGCCCATAGAAGAAATGACACTTGGGTCTCTACACCTGTTTGAATTATTTAGCAGAAATTCATTTGGCCAGGTCTTCTTTTTCATTTTGGATGCATCAGTCCAAATACCACTGAATCAATCAAGGGTTGACAATATATTCTTGCTATTGAGTTTGTCTCTGTGGAGCTGGAAACTAGACATATGAAGTGTAAAAAGAAATCCTGTGGATTTGATCACCTTTCTTCTATACAAAGAGGGAGAAAGAGAAGAAAACAATGGTACCTACTTTGTAGTGGTTTCCTCATACTGTTCTCTTCAGGAGGAAGGTGTTGAGGAACAGTAGCTTCTCACACAGACCTTAGACATCCTCAGAAAAGACACCTTCTTCTCCTTCATAGGAATGGGTAATGATCCTTAAGCTGAAACTGCTGACAGTGGCTGAATACTGCTGTGAAGACTCAGGAGCAGATGGGGAGGTCATAATTTGCAGGATAGAATCTACATAGTGATCCAAGAGGGAGCATTTCTATCTTTCAAAGAGAAGATTACCCTTTATTTTAAAGCTGTAGCATGTCTTGAATATTGTAACTACAAAGACACTGATACACTTCTTTTCTGACATGACACCCTTCTGCCAAGGCTGCTAGAACTCCTGTCAGTAGAGTTTTCAATATTTGCTTTTATTCCAAGACGGTGGAACAGCCACTGTAGTACACCCACTTGAAGAACGTTGAGGAACATTAGCTTTTCATGACCTTTTCAGTCTGCCAGGGAAAGAAGGAGATGAATGTTGCCGTATAATTGTTGTACACACAGGAGTAGAAGGAGATTGCTTGAAAGGTCTAATTAGTTTTGGCTGAGTCAGAATGGAGGTTCTATGCATGCAATACTCACAGATCTTCAGAACATCTGCTCTTCAGCCTTGATTGAGGCCTTGACAGAGCTGAATCTTTTGTGGCTTATGATCAAATGGCATATACTGATCTTGGATGCAATTTGTGGTAGTTTGTTGAATTGAAGGTGGAGGTGTCACAAATGTGATTTATCGAGGTGTGTAATCTCAGGTAAAGAATTGGGGTTTTTAAAATTTGTTTTAATGTCTCTCTGTCATGAGAAAGATCAGATCTCAAAATACCCCTTCCAGTTCTAGAACAAAGTTTGGCCAGACTCTAAAAGGAGCCTTCAGGAGGACACAACAGGTAGAACTTCATCGCTCCACTGCTCTCTCTAACCTGATGGGCTTTAGAATATGTTTGGTTCTATCTAGCTGGCCTCTTTTGACTCATCTTTTCTGCTAAAAATGCATCTCGCTTCTATAGCATAGAGTTAATGAGTACTTGGACTCTGTTATGTGGGTGTTTTTGAAATATATCCTTTATAGAACAGCCTTTACATCCTTTTCTCTTCTACAGTCGCCAAAGTATTCAAATCAATTTCTTTCAAAAAAGCCATATTTTGCTTATTTCCATCATATCCATTAGTAATAGAACCAGTCAGGTGTTAAGAAATTTGAAGGGAAAGCTCAGTACAAATTTACTTTCAGACATGGATGGTGAAAAAATTTGAGTTCTCTTTTAGACAGTGAAGAACAGTAGAATCACAGAATAGTTGCAGTTGGATGGTGCCTCTGGAGGTCTGCTAGTTCAATCCCCTGCTCAAAGCAGCATTAACTACAGTTGCTCAGGGCCATGTCCAGGGTTCTGAATATTTTCAGTATGAAGACTCCACAACCTTTTTGAGCTACCTGTACCTCTGTTTGACCACCCTTGCAGGGAAAAAGATTTTTCTTAACATTAAATGAAATTTCCTGTATTTCGGTTTGTACCCATTGCTTCTTCTCCTTTCACTGGATACCACTGAAGAGTCTGGTGCCATCTTCTGTACTTGTTCTCATAAAGTATTTATACACATTGATAAGATCCCTCTTGGAACATCACTTCTTGAGGCTAAACAGTCCCAGCTCTCTCAGCCTGTCCTTCTATGGCAGGTGCTCCAATCCCTTAATTATCTTGGGGCACATTGCTGGTCTCACTCCAGTATGTCCATGTCTCTTTTGAACTGGGAAACCCAGAACTGATCCCAGTACTGCAGGTGTTTCATCAGTGCTGAGTGGAAGTGAAGGATCATCTCCCTCCACCTGCTGGCAATGCTCTTCCTAGTGCAGCCCAGTAGGCTGTTGGCCACCTTTGTTGCGTTGGTGCATTACTGGCTCATGTTCAACTTGTTTTTTACCAGAACTTCCAGATCTTTTTCTGAAAGAAAAGAGAGAAAGGATAAAATTGTGGCTTCTCCAGTGTTACCGCTAGTTTTTTTGACACTACATTCCTCCAGTTCTCCTGGACATTGTTTTTGTGACTGATTCAGAAACTCCTGAAAAAGCATCAATTTTTATATACACAAATGCACATAGACATTCATACATAGATATACATCTTTGGTACACCTCAGATTGTAAGTGGCTGCAAGTTTATCCAATGTCCTGTAAAATATGATAGCAGAAATTAATTCGACTTAGAAATCATTCTTAATGTAATTACCATTTTCCTAGTTGTACATTTAAGATTAGAGGGGAAAAAATAAATTACCTCATAAAAATACCAAGGTTGTGTTAGGACTGAGGAACAGGAAGGAGTAATTTAGGGTGGGAGGAATGGAGACTGCATGCCTGATACTGCAGAGACTGTCCGCGTGATACTGAGAGGTCTGAGCAGACAGGCAGAAATTGGCACAGTGTTATTTTCACAGTA